GCTGCTTCTACAACCACCATCTCACCAACTCCAAAGTCATAGGCCATCCTTTGAAAAGGCGTCTGTGTTTTAGGCGCTGGTGACATCAGCAAACGATGCATGGCCCGCCACGCCAGCTTGGGGCTGGCCGGCTCTTGTAGGACCTCAACAGGTGCTGCTGCATAGATGCGACGCACAAAGGGGCCCCGGCTGGCGCGGAAACTCACTGGGACAGCCACATATTCCCTGCCCTCCTCCATCACCGCACTACAACTCACATCCCTTCGCGCGCCGCCTAGGACAGAAGCCACAACCTCACCAGCATCATCCAGGATCAGCAGGGAGAGGTCGTTGAGGTAGTATCCTTGCAGGGCTTGGGCTACCAAAAGGGTCCAAACTTCATGATGCATGATAATGCCGCCAAAAGCCCAGAATTGCTCCCAATGGATCCCACATGACTCACATGACGTTCCAACAAGCTTGACAATGTGACTCTTAGGTCCCTCAAAAACTGGATATGACATTACACAATCTGACCACTTTGAACCCGCGTCCTTTGGGCCTTTTGACCTGCTTCCCCCGCTCCGTGGGTTGGATGCCCATGACCCAACATTCCACAGCACCCCCAACACTTCGAAGCTTCAGAGCATTGCGAACCCCAAGGCCTTCTCCATGACCATCAAACTCCAGATCGAAGCTTTGGCTGTGCCACCCCGCCCGGGCGTAGCAAATATCCGCGCAGGCGAAGCCTCGAATGAAATCGGAATAGTTCATCCAGAAGCAGCCGTCACCTGGCGTGATCGCCACACCCAGCTGCGCAAGCAGTTCATCCTGTTCCCTTCTGGTCCACTCACCCCAGGGATTTCGCACCTTCACGCGGCGACCATCTCCATCTGGCCCTAGCGCAGCGACGAAGAAACCGCCACCATCTTCAGCTTCCAGCACTGAATAGGCATGCTGCCCCACCAAGCCAAGCTCTTCTAAAGTCATCGCGCTAGTTCCGCAACCAATGGGACAACCAGCTTGCAGCAAGGACACCAAGCGGGCCCAGAAAAGATCTGGATCGAAACTTGGCCCTTGGAAATTAACCACCTCTGGGCAAATTTGCTCCAGTCGATGTGGTCCAAAAATTATGAAGGTTGGGGCGATTCCTTGATATAGAATGACGCGAAATGATTTAGTTCTAGGATGTTCAAACTATTATATACAATACTGTAGCCATCTGAGCACTTGGAATATGCAAAACTTAATGACAGCTGAAAGATGCTGAAAGTAAAAACAATGTGAACACCCGACATTGGAAGCCGTGGGCCTCAGTGGGCGCACCAGTGAGCTCCAACAAAGCTTCGGAGGTTTCGCCTCCACTGATGAAACGATAGGCCCTGTGCGCCTTGGCGTAGGCCTCGGAACGGGACCAAGGCCCTTGGAACCCAGTTTAACCCTGCGCACACACACATCATATTATAAATAAATATATGCGTGTTATATATTATACCAGTAGTACCGCACAAGGCGATGGCGGAAGTTTCAAAAATAGGAAACCTATAGGAGAGATTGGTTGTTGTGAATCAGGGATGGCAGAGCGAAGCCACTGATGGATCGAAAGACGATTGATCTCTCTCACTCTTTCTCTGACTGTCTACCTACCTACCTACCTATCTATCTATCGATCTATCTATCTATCTATCTATCTCTCTATCTAGCTATCTATCTCTCCCTCTCTCTCTTTCATTTGATTACTCTATCTATCTATCTATCTATCTACCTATCTATCTATCTATCTATCTATCGATCTATCTATCTATCTATCTCTCTCTCTCTCTTTCATCTGTCTATCTGTCTAGCTGTCTACCTGTCTATCTATTTATCTATCTATCTCTCTCTCTCTCTCTCTCATCGGTCTATCTGTCTAGCTGTCTAGCTGTCTACCTGTCTATCTATCTATCTATCTATCTGTTTGTCTGTCTGTCTACCTATCTATCTATGGTGCACCTAGCTACCTACCTACCAATCTATCTATCTATCTATCTATGTATCTATCTATCTATCTATCTATCTATCTATCGATCTATCTCTCTCTCTCTCTTTCATCTGTCTCTCTGTCTAGCTGTCTATCTGTCTATCTATGTATCTATCTATCTATCTATCGATCTATCGATCTATCGATCTATCGATCTATCTCTCTCTCTCTCTCTTTCATCTGTCTCTCTGTCTAGCTGTCTACCTGTCTATCTGTCTATCTATGTGTCTATCTATCTATCTATCTATCTATCTGTTTGTCTGTCTGTCTATCCGTCGACCTGTCTATTTAGGGTGCAATGTCATTCAGTCTAATGTAGTGTAGTGTACTGTAGTGTAGTGTAGTGGAATGTAGTGGAAGGTAGTGTAGTGCAGTGTCATGTAGTGTGTGTAGTGTAACTTAGTGTAGTGTAAATTAGTGTCGGGGAGGGTAACGGAGTGTAGTTGTAGTTGTAGGTGTAGTGTAGTGTAATGTAGTGAAGCGTAGTGGAAGGTAGTGCAGTGTAGTGTAATGCAGCGTAGTGGAGTGTAGTGTAGTGTCATGTAGTGTACTGCAGTGTAATTTAGTGCAGTGGAGTGTAGTGGAGTGTAGTTGTGTAGTTGTAGTGTAGTGTAGCGGGATGTAGTGTAGTGTAATGTCGTGTAGTGGTGCGTAGTGGAGTGTAGTGGAGTGTGGTGAAATGTAGTTGTGTAGTTGTAGTTGTACTGTTGTGGAGTGTAGTGTAGTGTAATGTAGTGAAGTGTAGTGGGAGCAGTGTAATGCAGTGTAATGTAGTGTAGTGTAGTGGAGTGTAGTTGTGTAGTTGCAGTTGTAGTTGTAGTCTAGTGGAGGGTAGTGCAGTGTAATGTAGTGAAGTGTAGTGGAAGATGGTGTAATGTAGTGCAGTGGTGTCTATCTATGTACCTGTCTATCTATCTATCAATCTATCTATCGATCTATCTATCTATCCATCCGAATCCATCCATCTACCGTGTACTGATACGATCCTCATGTTCCTAAATTGAAACTTCAACAGCTCCTACAGCGTTAACACAACAGACTCCAAACCCAAAAAAGGCTCAAAACCCTGTAGTTGTAGTTGTAGTTGTTGTGGTTGGTTGGTGTTGTTGTTGTTGTTGTTGTTGCTGTTGCTGTTGTCGTCGAAGTTAGGGTAGTTAAGTTAGTGAAGTTAGTTAAGTTAGTCAAGTTAGTTAAGTTAATCAGTGTCTACTTTTTCGACATCTTCACGTCAAAAAAGGCTCAAAACCCTCAGTTTTTTTACACTTTTGACTTCGAAATGTGCTTCGCGCCACAACAGCGTGCACTTTTTCGACACTTTTTCGACATCTGAACCTCCAAAAGTGGTCCGAGACCGTCAGTTTTTAACACTTTTGACTTCAAAATGTGCTTCGCGCCACAACGGCGTGCACTTTTTCGACATCTCAACTTCCAAAAGTGGTCCGAGAATGGTGTGTTTTGTACATGTTCACTTCGAAATGTGCTTCGCGCCACAACGGCGTGCACTTTTTCGACATCGCAACTTCCAAAAGTGGTCCGACCATGGTGTGTTTTGTACATTTTGACTTCAAAATGTGCTTCGCGCAACAACGGCGTGCAAATTTTCATCTCTCATCTGGCCAGCTGGCTCCGCACCCGCCGCTTTAGCGAGCCTACTTTTCGACCCTCCGGAGCCCCAAATCATTGGAAAAACAAAGTGTTTCGCGACTTTCCTACCTTTTCGCGCATCTGCATCTTCTGTCTTCTGACTCTTTCTCTTCTGATCTTCTCTCTTCTAATCTTTCTCTTTTCTCTGCCTCTTCCCTGCTCTGCTTTTCATCTGTCCATATTGTCGGAAGTTTGACTTCTAAACTTCCTTCGATTAATATTATACATATAATACACCACTAACATCCAATAACAGTTACTAAAACATAATACTATGAATTAAAAACAACTAAGAACAACTCATGATCCAATGCTGATTCAGGTGACCTTTTCAATGAACGACACCCAGAGTTGCTGGTTGGTACATCGTCCATATGCCAGGCCCGTGCCATCCGGACGCCGCTGTTTCTCAGTGGTGGGCAGCCAGTCATCCACCAGCACCGCCCTCCAGCGGCCGTCCAGAAAGAGGCGTACCTCGTGGCAGCCGCTCGCCGCTCCGTCGTTGAGGTTGGGCAGCAGCTTTCCTGAGCGAAACCTCTGGGGATGGGAACAAGGGCTTAATATGGTTTAGTTAGTTTAGTTTAATATGCATAATGAGAGATGAAAGGGGAATATTATATATGATTATGATCAACTACTAGATTTTGGGGTGCCCTATTGTTTCCAGGAAAAAACTTACCAAATGTTCTGGGCAGGTCCTTGTGGTTGAAGTCAGGTAATGTGAAAACTGCTAGACCCAGAATGCAAATGATCCTCCAAATCCATGTTTGAATGATTTTGGAGGGCCATCACCCAAGCTCCACCAAGCACTCTGCCATTCTGCACAGAAAAAGTGGACTTAAAAATGCCCCAAGTTCTCATGAGGTCGTGGCGCTCAGCAACTACTGCCAGGGCACTCATGAACCAGCCTAGCAGCGTGGGCATGGCAGGGTCTTTCCTACGTCCTAGCAGCTTCTAGATACATCGTATCGACTGGTAATGGGTTCTTCAGCCAGCAATCAGCAAAGAATGCATCATAAACATTCATCAACCCTACCCCCCAATTCTTGGGAGTCAAAATTGCATATTTATAAGAAGAATGAAACGCAAAAACATCTAAATAATCTGAATGCATCATCCAGCGGCAGTCCCCAACACCTCCTTGCCGTACATCGGAAGGCATAAAACCCTCATCGCTCACGACTGTCCAGGCCCCCGTTGCGGGGAAGCGTTTCCACTGGAGCTCCAAGGCTGCCACAGTGGACCCCTGATCTGCAAATTCGAAGAAACGGCAATGCCTGGATGGGCACGCGTGGTAGGGACGACCATAAGTAGGTCCCCTCTTCTGCACCCGTCGCAGTTGCGCCACTAGGCCGCAGTGGCACAAGACCTCCTCGCTCACCTCTGGCAGTCTGCGTGTCACTTCACTCATGGTGGCCTTGAAGAAATCTCCAGTGCTACTTTTCTCCTCCTGGCGTCCATCCACTGAACGAGGCCCGGCGACAAAGTCTGTGTCTTGGAAGCTCTTGGGGCTCTTGGCTGCAACCATCTCCTGCCAGAATTCATGCTGCAGCGCCACACGGGCATTTGCCTGGCTGGTAGTCTCAACCCCAAAACATGGCACTCAGTAGCACTCAGTTCAATAATTATGAATATATAATTGGGATCATTCAATATGATTCATCCCATTTCATCCCCATGTTTTTATATAATTTGTTTTGGGGGGAAATGGAAAAATGTGTAAAGGAGAACATGTTTGAAACAACAGCCAGGTTGCAGCTGGCTCATCATCATCGCCGCAAACGAGTTGCCATTCAAACTTGGACCCTTGCGACCGAGACTTCTGGCTCGACACCTGGGGAACCTGGGGTCCCTGGACCTGTTGTCCAGCCCTACGGGGTCCACGAAAACGGGCCATTAGTCATGCTCACAGGCCGAAAACTCTCAGACGGGTAAATCTGCAAAATGATGCAAAATGCTCATCCCCTGCAACATGGAGGAAATTGGAAGGATTGGTGGCTGAAAATTGTTGTAAAGGGTGAGAAGATGGGACCGCAATGAACAAAAACCATACAAAATCTATATATAGTCTCCGCTTACCCCTCTCCGTATCCTTGGCCGGCTGATAGAGCCGCTACCCAGCAAGTGTCTCGAGTTCCCCAGGCTTGAGACAAATGCCTCGCCCTCAGGGCAAATACCAGGGGACTTTGGACAGATGGACAAAGTGCCAATGCTGGTCAAGCATCCCACAAGACAAAAGACTTACAGTATATAAAGCATGTGCGTATCTAAAAGAAGAGCAGGATACCACCCATAACCCAAGCGTCCCCAACCCCACAAGTCCAGCAAACATCAATAAGCACAACCAATCCAAATAGACAATCCAAGTTACTATCTGGTTCTGAATTTCCACGACCTCTGCCACCCCCACCCTCGCCAAAAAAAGCTGCGCACCTCACCAGTTCCTCTGGCCGCAGCCTGTTGATCAGCGCCTTGCCACCACACAATCTAACCCCCACATACCCGCACCCTTTGGTTTTGCACTATTGCTCGCAGGCAAAGCACCAGCAAACCATACAATAATAGAAATCACATGTAATAACAACAATAATGATAATAACTATAACCATAAAATACATGATATGATATGATTGCACAGATTAGATGGGAATATATCGGAATACAAGGAATTGTCAGGTATGAAAGACCCCCAGCACGTCAGAGGCACATGGGCAGCCCCCAGCCCTCCCACCTCTGAACCGCCTCAGTTTCGGCAGCGAAGGTGGGGGTGATGACCTATGTTAATGCCCAATGCCGGCGTAACCATCTGAGGGTAGAAAGTGCTTGGGTACATCGAGCACCTGATCTAATGTTCCAGGAAATTCCAGGCTTAAGATTCGGAAACATTGGAAAATTGAAGATCTCCAAATCCATGAAAATTTCGAGAGAAAAGATCAAACATTGCCGTTTTCTTGTAGAAACATCTGGCTTCCCCTGCGTTTGGGACCCACATGGGACCCACATCCCAGACACTTGTGGGCGGTCCGGTGGAGCGGGTTGGCACTCGAGCGCTCATCGAACATGGCTGCTGTCCAGGGTCAGCCCCGTTTTTTTGATGTCTAGGAGGGCTTTGAAGAATTTCCTTCACAATGGTTGCTTTATGATTTAAGTTCTTGCATAACAGTAATTGCACATAGGATGCACACAGGATGCACATAGGATTATGTATTGCAGCTAGGATTATCACAGTTTAATTGCCTTATATGTTAAAATGATAATATATATATATATATTATGTTGTAGCAAGTTGTACCACCTTCTGGGTAAATCATAGTAATCCACTCATCTGAAATAAGGCCAGCCATGGGGATACTTTTCCCCTTACTAACCATTATTCCAGTGAGGTCGCAGTGAGGTTGTTATAATTTAATGTTAGTAAAGCAATAGTATACCAGCCATTACCATCCCCAAATTTGCTTTTATGGGTGCTAGAAACCATCTACCGAATATGGGTGGTTTATGACATTGCTTTACTAACATGACCATGTCGTAGCATGTTCTACACCTAGGAGTTTTTTAGCCAAGTGGCTGCGAACGGACCAATTTTTTTGGGTCGCGTGAACCCTTAAGATGTTCAAAAATGGAGGATTCATGGATTTAACATGGTTTACCCTCTGGTAAACTAACATAGATATTGAAAATTGCCATTTATAGTGGATTCTCCCATTAGAAAAGGTGATTTTCCATAGTTACGTTAGTTTACCACAGGGTAACTGATTTTGAATGGATTTTAAAGAAAACGACCATGGATTTTAATGGATTTAAATTGATCTTTATGCATCAATGGATGGGCTTCAGGGAAAATCTTAACCGGAAACCTTGGATTGGGAAATGTTGAAAAATCCTGGAAAAACTTAAACCAATCCATTGCATTTCAAGACTGATCAAAACTGACCTAATCGGAGTATGACTGTAAATTACAGAATGTAAACTCCACAATTATTGATGATGATTCTTGTGTAATACTGTAATACTCATCCGTTCAGAAAACAACGAACTGATATATGATGGACATACAGTAAATGTCCAAGTACACATAAAGTACCTTCTGGTAATTTAACATAGCTATTGAAAATGACCATTTATAGGTGATTTTCCCATTATTAGCTATGTTAGTTTACCAGAGGGTACACATAAAGTACACTAAACAATTTCTGACAGTTTAGGCCGCCTTTCCTCTGAACAGTTCTCTCGCTGTCCCAGTACTGTACGGCGCCCAGCGGGGGACAGTAACAGGCACAGACATCGAAGGGACATCCGATGTCAGGCAAAATCTTCGGGTTTTTACCATGGCATCATGGTATTTTCATGCTAGTTTTGCCTGCAAATATGTGGTTAGTTTATGTTAGTTTCTGGTTTCTGGTTGATCTGAGTTGAGGTTTCCCTACCGTTCGATTCCCCTATGACTCCCCATCCCTGAGTGCTCAGCCACATGGGTGCAGCAGCACCTGGGATCACATGGTCTGTAAATTGTTGGAGGCTATACCCTCTGGTAATTTAACATAGCTATTGAAAATGGCTATTTATAGTGGGTTTACCCATTAAAAATGGTGATTTTCCATAGTTATGTTAGTTTACCAGAGGGTACCCATTTTTGGTGCTTAATGTCCCCTATGTTGTTAGCAAAAATAAGACATCCCGATTCGTTGTACTTATGTTGTTCCATCATGTCCCATCGTTACCAAGCAAATGTGTGGTCTGCAGTGTCACCTGTCCCATAGTTGACCCACGCCGCCTGCTGATGGGCTGCGTTCTGCCTGACCTGACGCCAAGAATGACAGCCACCATCCCCAATTTGTACCTAAAATTTTGTGTATGTCCCCAATTGGGATGATGTAGAACATGTCATAATGGCATTATGGCATTATGGCCCGCAAATGGTTGATTTCAGAGCGGCGAATCTTGTGGTGGCCCCATCAGTGGCCGCCAGCCATCAACATGGTCACATGACAAGACCCTGGTGCCAGCTAGTCATCTTAATCCGTATCCCAAGAATGAACCAAACCGGCCAAAGTGGACTATATTATGGAATTAGATGATTTTGGATATTTTGGAATTTGCGCTTTCTCCTTTTGTTGAGGCTGTTTAACTTCTTGTTTCAAAACGGACGTTTTCACATGTTTTCACAACATGTAACATGACATAACATGACATAACATGACCCATAGCAAAATACCATCCATAGACCAATCCATAGACCAGTCGGAGATCGCTTTTCAGCGCCACCTGGAAGATCAGGGAGAACCATCGGCCCAGAGGAGAGCTTCGCCATTGCGTCTTGAGCCGAGGCAGAGGCGGTGGCCCCGGTGGCCCCCAGTTTGTGTATGGAAAGACCCTTTAAATGGGCTTCCAAAATGAATATAGGTCTAGTAACTCAGTACCAAACCAGGGTTTCAAGTTTCGGTTTGGTGGGCATTTCATTATAACAAAAGAATACAACACACGCATATATATATATATACATATTACAATATTATAGCAGGGGGATGGGATTACTTCTGGGCAACACTGGGCAATCTAAGATTGAAGAACAGCTGGATCTTCAAAACTTCATTGATGCATCATGATTTTTCCCATGCGTCCCATCTCGGCTATTTTAACTCCACGTAGCTAGTGAAGCCTCCAGCAACCATGTACTGTATACATCTGTACACAGGTGACATTTGAAGTCTCAAAAACTGAATCAAACCGAAACACCATGAGATATTATGAAATATCTGATGTCAACTCTAATATCTATAGAATTGTAGTTTGCCAAGCCCAGCCAAGCCCGCGCATGCAGTGTTTCTTAAAACTGGGGTGCCACAAAACGATGGGTTTTCCTGTTTGAAGATGACAAACTTCTGGGATTTGGGGGACCCCAAGTTTCAGACACCCGATATCGGACGCGAGTTTTTGCCAACACTCTGTGCTGTCCGCTTTGGTCCCCACACTCCCCACCGACCTTCAGCCGGGAAGACATGTGACTGTGCTGCAACTTTGGAGACCACCGGTGTCAGCAAGGTATGGATATTTTGGGATTTTTGGGTGTGTCCTTCGCGGATCCCGTGACGTGATACCTGGATACCCCATGATGTCCCCCAACTGCTACCTGGTGCCCGCTCACTTGCAGGAATTGTGAGGGTATTTGAGAGTTACATTTTTCTGGATCCCTTGTGGTAGATTTCCAGCTGCCAAAGTCATCAGGAATGCGAAAGAACTTTGGACAATACGTGGAATTCAAGAGAACAATTTATGCAATGAAACGCATTGTAAACACGAGCTGACATAATTTCCAACCCTGACATGGTGACCAAATCCGGCCACTGTGGCCCACTCCTCATTGCCTTTTTGTGGCAGTGCTTCTCTGGCATGATCCAGCTTAGTTTGCCGCGATGCCAGGATGCCTAGATTCATGCAGCATCCATACTGCAAGCTATATTTATTTCCAGCTGATTCCAGCCCATGACAGAGGCATCAAGCGTCTAGAGTTGGGGAAAGCTGGTGTTGACGTGGTCTACAGTTTGGTTGGGGAAGCTAGCTCAAGGTATGTTGTTGCAATGCATTCGAAGCCATTTCAACACTCCAAGTTTTGCCTCAGATGACTCACCAAATGCCTCATGTCCAGTTCAAGATTCCCGCCGCATTTCGCACCTTTCGGTGTGTAAGAAGCAGGCGGCTGAAGAGGGACTGTCTCGCGCCGGCGTTGCAGCGCCCAGCCTTGAACTTGGGCTGGGGACCGCCTGAACGGCTCCAAAATTTTGTGAAACGTACTGCACCCTGGCCCAGCCCCAATTGAAAATGCAGGTTGGACTGTGGCTGTGGTGTGAAGCTGCGGGGCTGGGCCAGGGGTGGTCGAGAGGTGAGAGGAGCATGTTCCACATGGGATAGTGTGTTGCTTTCGGCCTCCGAAGTTAGTGGAACGCTTCCATGTCAAGGATGTCAAGTGAATAATTTCAGTGTATTTCAGTTCATTGTATAGCTATAATACAGATATAATGATATATAATATATGATATATAGCTCATCTTGAGATAATTGTTCTCTCTCGGCCTCGAAGTTTCTGCGGTGACCGGAATAGCCGTGTCACGAGTGAGACGCAGATGCGGCTAGCTTTTGAGAATGAGGGAAGCATAAAACTCCAACCAAGCCCTGTTTTGGAAGGGGGCAAATACGTCATTGAACCCTGTTAGACATCTTCGATTAACTTGTGGGAATTACATTGGAATGACATGCAAGATTGCGGCCTTCTCCATCAGTTGCCGCCTTGCCTCACTCCAAACTCACATCTGCTGGTGGATTTGTCTCTGGGGTCTGCTCCAGGGGTGATTTTCATGGTGCCATGCTGGGCTGCTGATGGAATCTGGCCGAGTCCATGGACAAAACTGGAGTTTGATTTTCCAGGAAACATCTAGAGGAAACCGTAGTTTCTACATGTTTTTAGCCCGAAATCTACGGATTTCATATGATTTCGAGGGGGGTCCTGTGATTTTTCCCTTCAATCAAGTCTGGGAACCTGGGTGAGACTACTGCTAGCAGTTAGGTAAAGCCCCCATGGTTGGCACAGATCCAGGGGGAAGTCGCCAAAGGGAATGATTGATAATTACTAATTTCTCTTAGTTTCTTCTCGTATCCTTCATGGAGGAGGAAAAAATCAAGAAACTGTTAAACAGGCGCTTTCAAAAGCAAGCAACCAACAAAGGACCATACTGTTGTTTTGACACCAAATGGTTTTCACATCATCATAGGATCGCGAGCTGTTTGTTATATCATGGCCTTTTGTTCGGCCCGCCACCATTTGTCATTTTTCTTCAGCATCTGGCACCACTGACCCCACTATCACACAGCTGCGGTGGGTCTGCGCTGGCACGACTTTACATCACGCATCGTTGCAAGATCGCCTTGATCTCCACATCCCGGATAGAGCCTCCAGTGCGGGAAGCATGCGGGAAGCATGGTGGCGGAGAAGTGCAGAAAGGAGTCAATCCCACGTGGTTTTAATAATTAAAATAGGGAGTTCCAGGTTATGGGTTATGACAATCCATGATGGATTCTGATAATCCCTGATAATACCCAATAAAAAAAGGGGTAGTATAACCCCCTATAATCATCAACCAACAGGGGTTTGGAGTTAACTGACAAGTGTCAGCACCCCTGAGCAACTGGCGTTGTAAATCACATAGTGGTGAGAAGTGGCCTTTTATGCTAAAGGCAATATTTGGTGTTCAAGTGACGCAAAAGAATCCTATGACACTTTTTGGCTCCTCCGTGTGCAGCAAGCATTCAACAGAAAGCCCCCGAGGTTATAAATTCATGATAATTCATGTCTTATATATTGCCCAAGGTGGGAAAAAATGAAAAAACAACTCATCATTTTAGGTCATGGTTCCCAGCCCATTTAAAATCGGAGGATCCTCAAATAGCTCGATGATCCCTTGCATCCCCTCGTGCAGTAGTTAGCACGAGAAAAACCCACAGGTTGATTCAAGATGAGTCATAGGAATGAAAAAGAAAAACATGCCGAAAAGTGCTTCCAAGATGGTATCAATTATATCATACATATGCATATTATATCTACATATATCTACCTCATAGTTCCAGGTGTTCAATTTCTCTCTATTTTGGGGTTGCCAAGGCCCCACCCCTGCTAACCTGGCCAGAAAAATTGACTAATCTTAGGCACCCTGCAAGTTTCTTTGTGCTTTCGCGGATAAAGGATATGAACCAAGCCATCTTTTAAGACTGCCACTGGCAGCAAGAAATCTCCCAGATATTCCAGATGATTCCTCTATTCCCATGCGTAAAATATATTCCACTAACCCCATAGGATCCATGTATGCCATATATGGTAACATTTACCATCAATATACCCCCAATGTTACCATATATGGCATACATGGATCCTATGGGAACAATCACTAACCTATGAAAACCCGGAAAGCTTGGGGCCAAGATGCTGGCTTTGTGCGGTGAAAATGGCAACGCGATCTTTGTCAGAACATGCCGAAGTGCCACCTGCGCAAGTCGCACAGCGCAGATCAGCGCAGGGTGTCGATCCCAATGGAACGAGTTGGTGAATGTGGTGAAACAATAAATATAAAGAACCACCCATTTGGGAATGGTTTATACCACCTATTTATGGTGATTTGAGGGATGGTTTATTATATTTATTATTGTCTTACCCACATTATTCCCTGCTTTCCTCAAACCGTGTGGCCACACTTGGGGTTCTTACGGTAAGGGCCTGGTGTTCATTCGAGGTGGTCTCATACGTGTGTGGTGTTTTTGATAGCCCTTATAGATCCTTATAGCACAAAGGTTCCTTGATTGACTGGAGTCTCGCACGAAACTTGGGGGGCAGGATGCGTGAACAGCAAATTTGGTGACCCTTACCGCACAAAAGTGCCGTCATCTTCCGGTTTGGAAGGAAGTCTTGCACGAAATGGTGTCCCCGGAGGTCTCTCTACTAGCGCGCCGTGCTCGTTTTTCCTTCAGCAGTGTGTTCACGCATGTTCACACACTGTTTAGGGGTCTCTGCCGGGATCATTTTTCATCCCTAACGGCCCTAACGGAGTCCGCGGGTTGATTATTCGGGGTTACTACATGTTACTATGGTATAATTATGGTATTAGGTGGAAAGGATTATTATCCGGTGTTCATTTGTGATATCACCGTCCAGGAATGTGCTAGCTGCTACGCTGCTACGCTCATCTCTAGCGGCATCAATCTCCTAGGGATGGTTGATGGCTTTGCTACTACAACGCCTCTTTTCTTTAGTCCCCTTCATTTGCAAATGGGCCATTTATTGATTCTTTAAATAAATTTAAAATAATGTTCAATGGTTAAATGGATTAGAAATGATTATAACATATTATAACCCAATACTAACATATACTAACCAGGTTATAACCATGGTATTTCCAAGTCATCAGGGTACCTTAGATCTAGCGGCTAGCGAGTCTCGGATCTCCGAGGATTCCTCGGATTTTTTGGAACGGCACCTCGATGTCCACCATTTCGATCTGTTCTAAGGAAAAGACCTGCATGTCCTGGGTGGGTTTGGTGCAAACATATATTGGTGTATATATATATATGTATAATATGATATTATTAAGATATATAATCATATATAATGTACAATATAGTCTATATAGCCTATAAGTGTGTGTGTGTGTGCATCTGCATGATACAATTGATACAATGTGATTTAATATGTACATAATATAGTACTGGCGTTTGAAAGCTGTGTATATATATATTATGATTGTAAAAGGATCAAGCCACTGACCTACGTATGCTGCTGCTGGATTAGTTGGTTTCCTTGCACCTCCACAGAATCTATCATGCCAAGCATCCGTTTCGCTGAACAGCCTTCCATCGCACAGGTCGCAAATGAACTCCTGGGGCGATGTGGGGATGACCTGCCTCACCTGGTGCGCATTCGAAAGCTGAACGGCTGTGCGAATGTCCTCATCCGGATATTCGAACTTCATATCAGGCTTTTGAATCTCCACCAAAACCTGAGTTTCACATAGTGTCACGCCATCTGTTTGATACGTTGCAAGAATCGCTGGCCCCTTTCCAGTCGGGGGAGCCCATTTTCAACTTCCATCGATCTTGGAATTGGGGGCCCGTTTGCATCTCGATCCCACCCAAGGGCAGAAAGCAACTGGCAGAGAGGCGAGTCAGGTCACTGCCCCTATCATCTGTATCCATCAGCCAAGGTGCAATGTTCCTGTTCTGTTTAAAGGCCTGAGTTCAGCTCCGAAAGAATGTGTGTTTTGGCCCAAATGTTTGGTTCAGTGGTAGTGACAGCCCTCTCCTGCAGCCAAGATGCCGTGACAATTTCCACCAAACACCAAGGCCGCTCGAAGACGCCAGGCGTGAGCAAGACCACCTCAGAGGATGCTGAACGAGATGTGTCAAGGCCCACATCTAGAAGAAGAAAATGACTTAAGGTTCATCATGGTTCATCCGTTTTGGCTTTGTAAAATCAGGTTGAACAGCTGCAAAATATTGGGCCAGGGCACCAGGTTGCGACTGGCCAGGATATGGTCCCTCAACTTGGCCAAGTCTTCCAGGTTTTCCTCAAGAAATCGCATCGGATGTCACCAGAAGGCGAATAACCATGGAAAACTGAGGTTCTATGGGGTCTTATTGGTGGGTTTATCAGACTACTCTATGTCCCTGTGTGACTTGGAAAATCTAAGAGATGCATCTTAGGTCACTTAATCGGCTTTGGAAGAGCAAACAACGACGAGAACACGAACAAGACGAAAACAAAAAAGAAGAAGAAGAAGGAAAGAAAAGAAAAGAAAAGAAAAGAAAAGAAAAGAAAAGAAAAGAATAATAATAGTAAGAAGAAGAAGAACAACAACAACAACAGCTGTCGCCATCCAAGAAACTGTGTCCAAAAAGACCGGATGCTCCAAGTAGTGAGCCACGTTTTGAGGATCCGATTGGATCTTATTCCTAGGCCGGCAAGCAGCTGCCCGGTGGGTGTGGCAAATCCCAGGCAATGTGCCTTGGGGAACCCTCATGTCAGCAGAAACCGCCCCAACATCAACACAAGAGTACATGGTGCCATGTGGCTTCCCAAAATATAAACCACCCCAATAAATTATACACATTATATATTGTTACTACACTTGGATGGGGTTCAAAAAGTCCAAACCATCTGGCGGCCGGTGAAACCAGCAAAAGATTGGCAAGATTCGCCTTCAACGTGGCTGGTGGTTAATAACCCCAGCTGAGGATTATCCCATTTGAGCCCTATCTCATGTTTGCTTAGGATGGTCCCCAAACATCAAATAAATCTACTCGCTATGGATTTCCATGGATTTACCCATAAGAACATAGAACATCACCTTCAGAAAATCTACCTATCTAAACCATCTAAAGATAAATGACGATAAATAAGATAAGGATAGGATAAGGTACTGGTTCTCCCCTGCCACCAAGCCACGTTAAAGCCTCCTGCATCAACGCAGCTTCGGTGCCCGCTTCCTGTGGCGTGTGGCTCCCTGGAAATCATCTGACCGGTTGAAATGTTCCAAGTGACAGCGGGGAAGCACTTGGAAGGGGAAAACATCTGGATCTTCGAAGCTTTCGAGAAATCATTCCTGATCATCTGATCCTTCATTTTGTTGAAAGGAATTCCTAGCAGTTCGAGATCCAGACCTCAGCAGTGGAAGAATCCAGACTAATCCCTTCATCAAATATCCATGAAATATCCACCAATGTCCACCAAAAAAAGTGGAGAAAACATGAGCAAAACCAGGGTTTAGAGGTCTCTTATGGTCTCTTATGGTCTCTTCATTTTTTGCCATTTTTAGAGCTATGAAAGATGACCGGATGGATGACTGGATGGGATTCTCCGAGCCCATGGGATCCTTCTTGAAATGGGTCAGGAAGATGCAATGGCCCTCGGTCATGAACTTCACCGTGACCTGTGCTGAGATCTTTTTCTTGGCGAAATCGAACGAAAACAAGGCGCCCTGAAGCATATACTGGTTGGTGGTTTCAACCATCTTGAAAATATGAAAGTCAATGGGAAGGATTATCCCATATAATATGGAAAAATAAAAACTGTTCCAAACCACCAGCCAGATATACTTCGAACATCTCGAACATATGTAGATTATGTAGGGATACTTGAAAATTTCGATATGATTCGATATGCTTCGTGCTATTGAATGATATTGAATGCACACTGAAAGGCGAACAGCAGAATTTTTGACACTCCCAACTGTGGCCTCACCAACTCCCAACCCAATGCCAACCATGGCCAACCGGATCAGCCTTCCGTAAGGACTTGAAGTCAATCTCTAGGGGTGTGAGATCTGTGCAATCGTTCTTGCAATGATGAAGCTGAATCACCACCATTCTTCCGTACCTTTGCAGTGCTGGAACTCCAAGGGTGATTCCGGCAGATCATCCAAAGAAAGGAACAAAGGGTGTTCCGAAACCATCATCAGTGGGTAAACATGGGTAAACATGGGTAAACTCTACATAAGGTAGCACCGCGTATTTATATAGCATAGCCAGCATAGCTATGTATAGCTCTACATTATATAGTATGTTTAGCATATGAACATCATCCATGAATCAACATAGTTGAATATACTTGAACCATCTTTAACCCATTCTCAGCTTGCCAACATTTGCCAAGCGTTTTGGCTATGGTGCGCATGGGCAGTGCGCTGTGCTTCAGGATAGGCCGCAATGATGTCACTGGCCGTGTCCACGTTCAAATTCAGGTAGGTACCGCTTTTCAGGACCTGCCAAATTCACCCAGTTCATCATCCCAATTGTGGTGGGAAATTGCTGGGGAGATGGGCAAGAATTGTGAAAATTGGCATACGATCAACGCAATTACGTTGGATTAGTCATTGGATTGTATGAGATTTCAATAGGTTCTGTAGATATACATACGTATGTCGTACACATACACACACATACACGCATATGTATATATATATATACACACTATATAATCGATTATATTTCAGGTTACCAAGTCATATAAGCCCGATATCCAAGTTGGGGGACTTACGCAAGTGGCATGGGACTTGGCATGGTCAGCCAAGTGCTACCAAGTGGATGGGGGCACTGTGTAGATGCGCGTCATTCCGTGCCCACTGTGCCCACCACTTTTGACATGGCACAACCCTGTTGATGTGTTTGCCAGAATTGACTTCTAAAAAGAACTATGACTATGGTAATTAAGGGCCTTCCACCAGCCTCTCTTTTTCAATGGACAATAATGGTGGTGTGTTTCCACCAAGTGTTGTGACTAGGCAGCCCAGTCCACTGTGGACAAAGGAGGACTGCCGACAAAGCTACGGATTAGAGTCCGAGAGCCCAAACGGTTTTTTGTTGAGGAATGTATAATGCACAGTCGCCCAAATTTTATCTGCTGCCTTCTGTGAACATATGCTTAACCCTGTCAGTGTCAATTTTCATCTGGCAAAAAATTATACAAAAGCTCCAGGTACCCCCAGTTATCCATTTTTCTACATCTGGAATTTGTATGGCCATTATCTCCAGTTATCATCTGGTTGGTGGTTGAGCCACCCTTGTGAAAAATATGAGTTCGTCAATGGGAAGGATGACAATCCATATATGAAATGGAAAATATAAAATTCATGTTCCAAAGCACCAACCAGAAATGGTTATAACATGTTATAACTATAGTCTATAGTGAAATAAGCCTCCAGTAGTTGGGATATCTCCACTATAGCCTATAACTGTTCCAAACCATCACCCAGTCATCCATTGCTCGATCGATGCCATTGCTCCCTCACCATCGGCACCTGCATGGAGCCCGTGTGGATCCAGTTGGTCCACAGGGCGATTTCACAGATGATCTTCCCAGACTCGACCTTCACCTGCAACGACGGCAACGAGCCGGGCTGGGCTGGACGAAACCATAGGGAAAACCATAGGAAAATGGAGGTTTACCCTCTGGTAAACATACAAAAAACTCTGGAAAATCACAATTTTTAAGATATAGGTCAATCAACGAACTCAATTTTAGCCATTTTCCCATAGCAACCTGTTAAATTACCAGAGGGTAACCCCGGACGTTCAATTGTGAAATCATACTTCAATATACCTCATCTGTTGCTTCTTGCTATACATTCGGAATGTTAAAATATCTGGTAGTTACTGGTAGTTGGGGATGTTGATTTCCATGATACAGGTGGAACAAATAGATAGGACTCATCCACATGACCATAATCCATGGCATTCCATGGCATTCCATGGCCCAAATTTGGGCAACAATGCACCTTGCGCGCTCGCACATGGGGTGGAGCTAGGAGTTGCCCGAGCTGCCCCAGCAGGGTGTGCTTCCTGAACGAACCCAAAATTTGGCACCCCCCAAGACCACTCAAATCCAGCACCATGGATCAAGATTCCCTCCACTAAGGTAAGCCATGGATTATCATGGATTATCCACGTGTTTTTTTCTCCGACACATTTAGCATTTTTAAAATTTGGACTGGCATGGCTCTGCCTCCATTATTCAGATTGCTTCACGGGGTCAGCCAACCCCATCCAACAAAGCACAAGATTGGCTGGGGAATCTGTCCTCGCAAGGGTGTAGAAAAACCTTAGCCAGGAAATCGCACAATAAGAAGCAATCAAGAAGCACGAAACATCAAACAAAAACATAACATAACTCAATCGACACAGGCTGTATCCTGCCTGAGTGAACCCTTAACCTGCCGGCAAAATATTCGTGTCATTTACCTAATAGGGAAAGGTATTGTAATATTCCCACTTGGGCCATCGACCAATACACCCGCAGTCCCTCAAAGGCAGCAAGTATCTTCGAATATAAAACTCTGTGACCTCATACATACATATATATATACATACATACAACACACACACACACAAGCAAACCATAGCACACCAACACCTCAGCAAACCCTGCATCGCGACGAAGAGATGCCGCCCAGCAACGAGCCCGAGAGAATGCAAAGCATTGAATGCGCATGGTAGCCATCTGTGAAGATCATATCGTGCCGTTGGGCCACTACCTGTACTACCCAGCGATGTTCGATTGGTCATTCTTAACCTATAGAATGGCAACTGTAAGAGTATTTAAACCAGAATCATCCTCCCGACATGTCCCAATAAACTGAGGAATGGACAACTTTATAAAAAGAATGAAGGATTGCTCCACCATCATCAGTGTCTCTCCGGGTTTTTCGATGGTTTTCTGCTCTGAATCCCACCTCCTTCACGGCGTCCACACAGACATGGCGGAAACACGCGCGGAATCTGTCCTGCCGCCCATGCAGATCCCAGCGGCTCGAAAGCCCAAGTGACACAAAATCCAGATACTGAGCAGGGCTTCAATGCATCCTATAATTAAAATATCGTATATAGAGAATTATAGAATATCATAGAGATATAAAAATAAGTAAATAAATTGTATTAAAGTATACTGTAGCAAAAGGGTAGATGCATATTTATTTGCCATTTATCTACATTAAGAAAAAACTGGGCCTTATTTTATTTTTAGTTTTAATATCTGTTCTATAGGTTTTCGCATCACCTAGTCAATCAGCTCCCCGCTGATTTTTGTCCACCATCACCGGCCTGAAACTCGTTCCAAAACGTGGATTTGCACAGGTTGGGGCCCCGCGACTCTTCATAGAGGTCCGACTGGAGAATCTCCGGCATCTTCGCTAGCAGCTGCTGTTCCTCAGCTCAGCCACCAACCAAAGAGTTGTTCCGTCCTGCTCTGTTACCCCAAAACAGTTTTTTTTTTAACAAGTCACTAGTAGCTGCAGGCTGGAAATGATACATGTATAATATATGTATATATATATATATATGTGTGTGTGTGCTATATGAAGTTACATGATGGTCTTTTGAAATCTTTCTTCCAACACACGCTCCGCCCATCACGGCCATCTCCGAGCTGCTTCTTGCAGCTTGCTCTCCAGCCAGGTTTGCTGATGGCAGGACACCACAAACTTCTTCATGCGGATGGACAGCTCCGCTGAAATCCGATGCGATTCCAGGAAGTTGTTGCACACATCCTGGCAAACCCCCAAGGCGATAGCCGCTGATCCGCTATGTTCATCTTCATGTTTACATTCACCACTCTATCTGATTCGCAAGCCACAATCATTTTCTGACTCATGAAGTTAACATGTTGCAACAACATCATATCCTACCCATATTCTTCATTAGGGGGTTCCCATAAGTACCCCAAACTGTAAGGAAAATGAATGATTTGGGGGTACCCCCGTTTTAGGACCCCCCCCACTTTGTTGCTGACATGGTGTAGCCATGTGTAGCCACCATCTCCCATCCATCTCCCATCCCTCCCATCCCCATCTCCTGGAGATTGCTGAGCCTGGCATCCACAAACTGCTGCACCAAGAACACGATCCGCGCCAGGAAAATCGAGGTCCCCACAAAGCCCGCGATGCGCATCACTGCGCTGATGATGTAGTCCATGGGCGAGTCCGCCACATCGATCTCGGACCACAAGAAGAAGTCCAGCGCCCAATGCACCGAGATCCTAGGAGAAAAATCGATGGCAATGGGCCTGATGGATGATTCTGGAAGTTAGATGAAATCAGCAAACAGTGTATATGTATGTGTTTTGATGATGATAGCTGAGCAACTTCGGCTCATAGTGGAATCTCTTCAAGAAGTCTTCCAAACAAGTATGCTCCAACTCAACTACTGAGGCTGAACACCCCCGAAAGCCATCCCGTGCCAGGCGTCAAGTATGCATACGCCATATCCCTCTCATGGATGCCTTTTTCGGCAAAGACTACCCGACCCTCCGCGGTGGAGGTTCGGATGAACAGCAACAAACAAGCCATCACCTTAGAGAAGGGCCAGGATGGGGCAGGGAGTTGTCCTTGCGCCCATCTACATGAGGCTGCCCGTCCCCAACTCCAAAAATGGGATGTGTTCTTCAGGTTTTTCTTGGTGTGAGGGTTGCCGGCTGTGCTCTATTACAGGTTGCAGTGCGTCCTTAGGCCGGCATCTGGTTCTGAACATCTGAAAGCTGGTCTTACGTATGCTGGACATGACGTAAGTGACACTAAACATCTACAGAAGTAAAAATCCCTAGCACCTTGGTAAACACAATCCAATATTTTGTCCCGAGATGTCTCAAGAAAGGTCAGAAACTTCACCTTGACATGTTCAGGTAGATAGTGAAGCTGCAATATGCAGGTTTGCATGCAGGAACCCCTGGAAAGTCGTCAATGACAAGTTATGACAGTAATCTACAGTCCCTTGGGCCGATGGGGGGAACATCGTGGGATGCATCACCAACTGCATTCCAATCTTCACCAGAAACGACCATTGAACGACCATAACACAGCCAAATGACATGCAGCCCACCCAAGTACGCCAGGCAGGTCTTCAAAATGGAGACGTTCGCCGACAGGACCTGTGACACGCCACAGCTGCGCGCAGTTGGGGCGGAGCCACGTGTGCCACGTGTCACTCCAGAGGTCCACGGAATCGTTTGATATATAAATTATATTACATGTTTGCATATACAGATGATCCACCATCTATGTTCTATATTTATATGTGTTTATTTATTTGTGTTATTTACCTGTACAAGGTGTGAATGCAATAGCTCTGGATGGCTCTGGGGTGCAGACCCTGGCTCGTTCGAAGAGAATCTCAGAGAGGATTGCATGCAACTTCTTGAAACGTAACAGCTTCATGAGCCTGCGACGCTCGGACGCTCGATGTACAAGAATCCTATAGAATCCTACAATGCATCCTACAACCTGGAAATAAGTTTGTTCCCAACATTCATAAATATCATAAATTTCTAATGTAAAACCATCAAGGTGGTGATGGTGCCATTCACTTACAGGATGACCATAGACCTTACACATCAGAGATGCAACATGATGCGACATCGCAGGTCACGTGATGGTCCTGGAGCAACGGTCCGCATGTTGCACTGTTCATGATGTAGACTTTCGCAGGCTGAGTGACTAAGGGTTGAAAGGAAGAAGTATCAAGTTCAAATGTTAGTCACTTGCCTGTCGAAACCTGGAACATGCAAACATGCAAATAGAAACAACAATTTAAGCAGTGATTTTTATCGCCACCTCTATCTATGCTCGCACTCAAGGGTTGACCATGGTTAACCAATGCCCGTCATCACCCATTTGCCTAACAAAGCGAAAGGACCGAAAGATGGAGACTGTGCTGGCCGCGATTTCTTCTGTGAAAACAGCCAGCCACTCGACCACCACCACACTTGCATCTAGAAACAGCCTCAGTGGGATGGTGGACTATCCCCACTGGATGAATATCAAATGCATGCGTGTAATATATATATATATACATATACACCCACGTTATTTGCACATACATAATATACACATATGTATTCGTATATGACTCTATGTTTGTAAATACAATATATATATATATATAAATTATATATACATGTGCGTATATTTAACAAATGTATGTATGTAATGTAATGTAATGTAATGTAGTGTAATGTCATGTCATGTAATGTAATGTATGTATATAGGACAGGTGTGTGTGTGTGTGTCATGCACATATATGCTTTTCCATATTGCCTATATTTCTGTTTTTGTGTGTGTATATATTTGATCCAAGACGGTGCGTGCAGAAGATCATCCATCCTTGACTCAGAAGCGGAATGATCATGAGTATCAGCCGGTATCATTGAATAACGATCTCAGCGTTGAATGTGGATAATGTATATCTATGATAATGTGACAAACATACGCAAAAATAGTCACTATATAATATCTGCCGTCATTCTCTGCAGCACTACTGTACATGGCAGGTAGCTCACTTGCGCAATAGCTCTGTACTCACTTGCGCACTTGCATCACTTGCGCCTAGTGGACGTTTTGCATGTGGGAAGGGTTGCATTTGTTGATCAGTTTGCATCACTTACGCTCTACCCTGGTTGTTGGGTTGGTGGGTGTTGTCTCTCTGGGAAGGATTGATTTTCATGCATCACTTGCGGCTCCCCACATAGACGTGGTTGTTGGCGGGTCTATCTCACCCAGGCGCCATGTCTTTGCATATTCCTTGGCGATGGTCTTCAAGTCCATGTGCAAACGTCCTTGGAATCGGTGACCTTTCCGTTAATCTGGTTGCGTTTCTGATGAAGATATCATCAATGAATCATGATGGATTATGGTTTTCTTGCGAAAATCTACCGGAACCATGGTTCTTACCCAGAAAAAAGTGTCACTTTCTGCAATTTTTCCCATCATCCAATTCTGGATATTCTGGGATAGCCTGCAGATGATGACCGTATGTTAGGGATCCTGCATGGATCATGCCATCGTGGCCAACCTGCTACGGCGGCGACAAGAGTCCATCCACATAGACTCCAGTAAGAAAGCTCAGCAGGATGTCGACCTGACACGTTCGTGAAACGACACTCGAAACTCAGGTGATCAACACATCATTAAATCCTATGCAGTGCGCGAGAACATTCATATTCAACCACCAAACTCCTCAACCAACAGTTCGAAACGGACAGCTCTGCTTGGTCTTTCAACTCAGCGGCCCAAAAAAATCCCAGGGCAAGCGCCGTGGGCTCGATCCAGTCGGAAACAAATTTTGACATTGAGAAATTGGCCAGTCTTTAGCCCAAAGAAAGTTCACTGACATTTTGTTGAGGCTCTCATGTTCTTTTGTTTTCTGCTCAACCACGTTCTATCCTTCAGGTGCATCGCACCAAGTCCATGTCCATGGTCGCATCCAAGTTGCCGTCCAAATCGCCATGAAGATATAACCTTGGACTGGCGACATGGCGCATGCGGGCGCACAATCTTTCTGGCTGCTTTTATCTCCAACTTGTTTCCCCAGAGGGAGGAAAACAACTGATCCTCATTGGAGTGATCTTCTTGAATCGGGATGGACAAACATCTGAAACATTCTGAAACAGCATATTTTGAATCTATAATTCCGCATTAACCATTGGAATTTCTATAAGCAAACTACGACAGCCCCAAACCCAACCTCAGCCATAATTCGGGATGATACCACCTATGTCCTATGTATCCTATAAATCCTATAAGCATCATCCATGGTAGGCCAACAAAGCAAGCCGCTGCAATTTACAAAAGCATTCTAATCTAGTCCTAGCACAATCCCAACCCCCAATCCCAACCCCCAATCCCAACCCCAGTCGCCAATCCCATACCCACCTAGAAACTCATGTCGTAGCTTAACACCCCAGTCTTTGATCTTAAAATCTGCATGTTTGGCAAACTTGACCCCAAATTTAAAAAAATGGTACAATATGGTACAATCCAACAGAATCCCCAGATATCCCCAGGTTAGATGTCTCACCAACCCCTGCAAAAAAATTCTGTTGCTCCACCAATCCCGCAGCCCAGTCACTGAAGAGACTTCGGCCGCTCTGCTCGGAGTCTTGCGCGGCTTGCGCCTGTGAGAGCTCCAGCGGAAGCGTTAAAAACTCCCAGACCCAGGCGAAGATCGTGAGCAGAATCCAGGCCTCGGAATCTGGCGCTTTTCGTGGCGGTTTACATGACCAGTTCAGCACGACAAAAAGCCAAGCACATGTCAAGCATTTCATAACGAGTCGTCTCAGGAGTTGATTCACTCCATGCCCATCTAATGACAAAATATGACAAATAGATACGGATAATTACAGACAGATGACAACAGATCATGAGAAACAATGACAGATGGGGATTTGGTTTTTGTCTCAACATGCCCCATTTCCAATGGATTATTGAAGGATGGTCTCCATCATTTGATGGCCATGATGGCCATCATTTTGCGGTTGGATCTCAGAGGATCTTGGATGTTGGATATGGCTGGTCGCCTTGCCTTTCTCCGTGTGATGTTTTGGAAGCGCACTTGGATGTGCATCGCATGAAGTAAGGGTTTATACAATTCCCCACATGTAACTGCAACCTATTCCATTTGAAAGAAAATGTTATGCCAAGGTTATTGACAGGGTATTTACAGTAGGGTGTATCTCAATCCATGGGGGAGAGATTTATCCCCAATTCCTCTCCACTTTTTAGCTTGGCTGATAAACTTCCCTGCTGGGGGATGTCCTTCTGTTTGGTCCCATGGAACGTGGCTGTGAATCACAGGTGGAATGCACATCCAAGCACTAGAGTGGGTGGCTGGATGTGTTCGGATCTTGGAACATCCAGGAGAGAACTAGGAGTTTCCTACAGTCTATAACAGAAAGACTCAGAAGCAAGCATAGGTAGTCTGACAATACTGTTGCGGCCTTAGCTCTAGGGATCGTTGGATGGGCCTGGATTCGTATCATACAGGACCATCCAAGCCTATGTGCTATCCAACCCTAAGAACTATCAAGAACACCCATGAAATTCCCATGGTTTGACATGGACAGGGTCCCAAGTTGTGGCCATCCAGATTCTTCCAGATCTAAGTGGCCAATCGCAGGTTGGAGTTGGGATGCATCCTGCATCTTCGCCTCCGGTTACCTTGGAGCCGAGCAGGATTAGGCGCAACAAAAAAGGGCATGGGCATGGACTGCCATCATGGACATCATAGACTCCGCCAAGTAGGCGGTTGGGGTACCAGGGTATTTTTTTGTCAGGGCTTCGCGGTTAGGGTATGCTCGGTTAAAAAAAGGGGGGTCAGAAGCTTACTTTCCACTACGTTTTAGTTGCTATGTTCAGGATTTAGTGAAGAATTTCTGTGTCATTTTCTGCCGCAAAAATCCATCCATCACTTCCTACGTCCGTCGCCTTGGTACCCTCTGGTAAACTAACATAACTATGGAAAATCCACTATTTCTATGGCCATTTTCAATAGCTATGTTAATTTACCAGAGGGTACATCCCATTAAAATCACCATTTTGTTGGTTAAACCCCATTAAACCACCATTAAACCACCATTAAATTATCAGAGGGTAGATCTTGGGCCAAGCCAAGCTGCTAAGGCCGCTGACCTGCTGTGTCTTCAGCAAGGTGTCCAGCGAGGAGCTTCGAACGCTCAGATTGAAAAGGCCGAGCCAAGGACCGTCCTCAGACATCCACGCCCCAAAGTCATGGCGAAATGGGGAAAAGTGGGGGTGTGGAAGGAACCAACCATGGGAAAACATGTGTATATATATATATATATAAAATAGTATATATATATATTAGTATATATATATAATAGTAAATATATATATATCAAACTTGCAGAACTCACGGGCTTTCGCGATAGCGCACTAGACTGAAGGGCCCTTTGATGCATAAAGGCCTGGCGAAACAGATAGGTCATTAGATGTACAAGTTTCACAACCTGGTATCGCCTATAGGAACTTACCACAGATTCACACACACACACATATATATATATATTATGTTTTAATATATATGGCTAAGATGCCACAATGGGAATAGATAGGAATATATAAGGCACTATATAGCTATATAATGCTATATATATATATATATTTATATATCCACCAGAGTGGATTCTTGTCAGCCATGTACATGGCTTTGGCTGTGGCTTCACAAACGGGTATGGATCGTTCCGCGGTGATCCATACCTATGGATCAGTCTGGATCACCTTTGTTATGGATCGGGGGTATGGATCGCCTCTGGGTTTTAAGGCTTGATCCGGACACTAAATTCTGGGCCGCGGCCATTTGAGATGTTTGGGTTCATGATTAAGTGCCAGAGCTACCGGGCAGCAAACAATCATCCTAGATAGCTGCTGTTGGAAGCACCCTCCACCTGACTCCACCTGTCAACTGCCAAGTAGCGTATGTATCGCGCATCTCTTTGGGTTTCACACTGGTGGTTTGCTCCTGCCAGCGAGTGTGCAAATGAAACCTCGGATTTGCATCGCGGATGCTGAAGGTTGGGGTTCCAGCTGGGCCGAAATGAATTGAAAGACAGGGAAGCACCTCAAGTCCAAATCGACAAACCTGTTGAACCCAGAATATCATATTCTGGCATGGCAAGGATCTCAAAGGACCTCACTGGAGTCTGTTGGTGATATTCTTGTACATCCTAAGTCATACTGATGGAGCCTCATAAAGTGCCACATCTGATCTTCTCCGAGGCACGTGGGAACATCAGCGTCCAGCAAAGCTCGCGTGACCAAGTCGGCCCAATTGATGATCGCGCTGTTTGCGGCGCAGTCTGACATAACCGTACCTGATCGATCCGTCACTTCGTCGGTTCGGTTAATACACACTGCTGGGCCTGGCACTACCATGCTCACAAAATCTCACAAAATTCACCGCCTGCCATATCACCCTATTGACTCACACTTCCCTAATCTGGGCGTGGGTCAAGTCATTTTTTTTTTTTTGTGTGTGTGTGTGTCTCACCAATGGGTCCACAAGACTGGCAATGGATGAAACATGTAAATGCATCAATAATTTTGGCCCATGTCCAATACCGATTTCATCCCATCAAAAATGTCACTTCCACCTTTGGCTGGTGTAATCAGGATTCAAATCATTCAAAAACCATTGTGACCAACAATTTAATCCCTAAAGGTGCGGCGACTTGGGGATGCTTCTCAGGTTTCGAACGGCCAGTGGTCGCACACGTATCCACATTTATGGTTCCCAAAAAAAAATATTCATTCCTCGATAGATAGATAGATAGATAGATAGATTAACTAGATAGATAGATAGATAGATAGATACATAAGATAAGATAAGATAAGATTAGATTAGATTAGATAGATAGATATATATATATGTATAATACACACATACATATAAATATAATACACATATATACATATACATATACATACACATATACATATACATATACATATACACACATACATTTATATATATAATTATACACATAGATATATATACATATATATGTAATTGTAAATACGTATGTGTCCAAATTCTGTTGGATTCAGATTTGCCACCATTTCCCAACCACGGTGTTCACAAAAAAATATGCATGTTTCATCATGTTTCACCGATGATTGACCTATAACATCATTAAAATCCAGTCTGGTTGGTGGTTTGAACCCTTTTGAAAAATATGAAAGTCAGTTCGGATGATTATTCCCAATATATGGAAAAATAAAATTCATGTTCCAAACCACCAACCAGCAGTAAATCTCCATTTTCCCGATTTGAATTGAATCATTCCGCATGTTCCCCGGTCATCACCGCCTGCAGTTTCACTGGACCGGATGCGACCCACTGGTGGCTCCAGGAGCTGAGCGAGGAGTCAGCGTCGTGGCAGGTCCCGTTTGTTGGTGGAGACAAAAAACGTGGCTATCTTAAGGATATCTTATGGAGATGTTTTAGTGTGTATAATACCCATACATACATACATACATTACATTACATTACATTGCATTGCATTGGCAATTGCATTACATGTACTTACAATACAATACATACATTTACATACATTACATCATACATACATTAAATACATTTACATACAGATTACATACATTACATACATTCATACATTACATACATTACATACACTACAACATAGCGACGTGACATACCTACATACCTACATACAGGGACACTACATAACGTGGGCTACATACCTACATACACTACATACAGGGCTACATACACTACATACACTACATACATTACATCACATACAAGGGGAGAGCATTGACATAACTTCCATTACATTACATACATACAAACATGACATACATGACATACATGACATACATGACATACATGACATACATTACATACATTACATACATTACATACATTACATACATTACATACATTACATACATTCATACATTACATACATTACATACATTACATACATTACATACATTACATACATTACATACATTACATACATTACATACATTACATACATTACATACATTACATACATTACATACATTACATACATTAAATACATTACATACATTACATACACTACATACACTACATACACTACATACACTACATACACTACATACACTACATACACTACATACACTACATACACACACACACATACATACATACATACATATACATGCATATACATGCATACATACATACATACATACATGCATACATATACATACATACACATACATACATACATACAGACAGACAGACAGAGAGACATACACACTTACATTACATTACATACATTACATTACATTACATTACATTACATTACCATACCATACCATACCATTACCATACCATTACCATACCATTACCATACCATTACCATACCATTACCATACCATTACCATACCATTACCATACCATTACCATACCATTACCATACCATTACCATACCATTACCATACCATTACCATACCATTACCGTACCATTACCATACCATTACCATACCATTACCATACCATTACCATACCATTACCATACCATTACCATACCATTACCATACCATTACCATACCATTACCATACCATTACCATACCATTACCATACCATTACCATACCATACCATACCATACCATACATTACATTACATTACATTACATTACATTACATTACATTACATTACATTACATACATACATATATATATATATATTACATTTTGAGGGGGAGATAGGTTGATGGATTCATGGAAAGATGGATGGATAGATAGATTAGATAGATTAGATAGATGGATAGATGGATACAAATATGATACAAATAAATGGTGTGGTGAGATATATATATATATATACATAACCACAACAAGCTGGTTCTAACTACCATCCTCAAATAATAATGGTTCCAATGCAAAATGATGTGGCGGGAATTTCGGCCAGCAGGAATGTGTGAATTTTCGAATATAGGTGGGATTTTTATATGATGACGATGATGATGATGATGAGGAGGAGGAGGATGAGGATAATGATGAGGATAATGATGAGGATGGGGATGGTGGCAATGATGATGATGATGATGATGATGGTGATGGTGATGACGATGATGATGATGATGATGATGACGATGACGATGACGATGACGATGACGATGACGATGACGATGATGATGATGATGATGATGATGATGATGATGATGATGATGATGATGATGATGATGGAGGTGATGGTGATGGTGATGATGGTGATGGTGATGGTGATGATGGTGATGGTGATGATGATGATGATGATGATAATGATAATAATGATGATAATGATGATAATGATGATGATAATGATGATAATGATGATGGGGATAATACAATGTCATAAAACAACCCTCCGTGCAACCATGCCCAAAAAAAAAAACACTACATATTTTGTTCAGCAAGAAACACTACGCCTTCATGACAATAGGAAGTTCACCATTTTGCCAAGGACAATGAACCAGAACTGAGGCTTCTCCATCGCCATAGTAGACTACCAAAGCGTGATACAAAATGAAGATAGCAGTGGTGGACAGTAGCTGGGTTCCGTGCTTCATCCCTCTCAATGGCAGCAGATTAAACGAAAGTCTCTGGAGATGGATATATATATACGCATGTGTGTGTGTCTGTGTGTCTGAGTGTCTGTGTCTGTGCGTCTGTGTCTGCGTGTCTCTCTGTGTGTCTCTCTGTGTGTCTGTCTCTCCCTGTCTGTCTGCCTGCCTGCCTGCCTGGCTGGCTGGCTGTCTGTCCGTTGGTCGGTCGGTCTGTCTGTCTGTCTGTCTGGCTGTCTGTCTGTCTGTCTGTGTTTTATGTATATTTATTTATTCATTTATTCATTTATGTGTTGGTGTTGCTTCCCCTCAAAGGGAAACACCATCCAGAGGTCACTGGGCCCCCGCAATCCCTTTTTTTCATCCCACCTCCTCCAAGCCGTTCTCCTGGAGGACTTGTGTCAAGCTACTGGCCTCAAGCGCGCTTTCTATCACCCATTTCTTGCAAAATTGAGGATGGTTCAATACCAGGCTTACCACAATGTAGTATACGCGATACATGTCTCAACATCATTGTGTACATAATATATCTGTCTGTCTGTCTATCTATCGATCGATCTATCTATATTATATATATATCATTACATATCTATCTCTCTATCTCTGTGTCTGTGTGAGTGCAACTTGGCAATGTTTGATCGATCCTCAGCCCAAAGACTGACTTGGGATAGTACCTGGAGATTGGTTGTTTTTGTCTGGGGGATCAAGCTGACTTTCGGGTCAGATCGAACCCTGTCCCTGACGGTCTGACAGACGGGGGAAACTGGGTGTAAATCTCATGATGCAATCGCATCCCGTTGTGAATTAGCCAGATGGGGCATGCAGTGGAAATCCAAAAAGGGATTCAATTGCTTCATATCCAATGGGATCCATGTATGCTATATGGTAACATTTACCATCAATATACCCCCAATGTTAGCATATATACCATACATGGATCCTATGGGTATTGTTACTGCCACACAACACGATCAACACGCAGGGGATCACTGTGAGCAAGTACAAGACCATCTGAGCGGGTCAGTTACGCCACTTGTGGCCCCATGGATCCCCATGGAGCACTGAGGTTCCCGGCAGTTGTTTTCCGGGCTTGTGGCCTGCAGCTGCTGCATCAAGACAAATTACAACCCTCAAGGGCATAGGCAACTTGACTCTTGGGACCTCAACGTTTCAACTTGGTCGAACGTCGACGATGAAATGCCCACAATTCCAATCATTTCGGGTGAAGCGGGCAGTTCCTTGAGGAATTGCGGGTGTCTCCCTACGACATCACGATGTCAGTGGTGCAACGCTGTCCTGTCAATATCGGAGCCGCTATCGCTCACCACACTCGCACTTCTGGTGCGCGGCAGTATTTCTTCGAGTTCTGGAATTTCTACCTGAGATGTCGACACGAGAAAGTGCAACAGGCTGGAAATGGAAACTGTCAATATTTCTGAATCATTGTATTTTTTTCCTGACGGTGTTCGTCTTTTTCGTTGGCAGAATTCACCCAGGACAATATTGTATATTATACAGTTGTTCAAACATTTTAATCATAGTTTTTCACGCATCAGTGCAGGTTTGTTTTATGTGCGCATATCTAAATGAAAAAATAAATAAATATATATATAATTATATATATATATACATACATATGGTCCCGTGTCTCGTGTTCACGGCCCTCCCCCCACCCCATGTGGTATGGGAGGTTACCCCCCAACCCCACACAACCCCAACCCCCGCCCCACGCCCCACCACATCCATAGGGGGGAGGGATACATAGACATATATGCATATTCATATAGGCATACATATACATGCTGCATACATTTGCACATACACATACTACATACGTAGACACACACACACATGTATATAATATATATATATATAACTGACATATCATATAGGGACCATCACCAGCTCGGGGGGGAGCGGGGGCACCACCAAACGCTGGGCCATAAATACATATATATATAGTAGATATTATGTGTATATATATATATATATGTATATATATATAAATATGCATACATATATCTGTGTGTGTGTTTGTGCGTGTGCATCCTCAAAATCATACTATTTGAATAGCCTTTCTGTCCATATCTGCACCTCCTCCGAATAAATCCAGGCAACTGCGCAAGAAGGAGCTTCGGGTTGCATCGTCGGTGTCGGGGGCAAAGTCGACCTTGCTTCGGGTTGCTGGCCGCCATCAAGCCCTGAACGCCCTGAACCATGTGGAAAATCCAATAATAATAACGTATTGTAATTTGAACATATGCGGGATCAACATCTATTTAAAATAGAATATATCATTATAATTATAATTATATACACGTCTCTTACTGAGCATTAACAAGTGATGTTCAACAAAACACAATACAGTAAACGCTGGAATGCTGTAGGCATCTGTAAACCTCCAAGTGGGGATGATTTCAGGGGGTAACCAACCATTTAGGGGGTACGATCAAACTTCCCGCATTGGGTTGATGGTTTTGGCAATTATGCCAAATTCTCCCATGTTTTTAATTTACGGCAGACTCAAAGGGCTTACCTCATTAGTTCTTTTGATCCGAGCGTAAGTGGATCCAAGACCAACCAATTACACAAAATCACGACGGTTAAGAAAAGATTCAGACCCTCCAATCTAGGAATGAAATATCTCTTATTTTTTGTATGCATCAACAGTACGCGCAGATCCGGACGTTTGCCCGGAGCCTATGTTTTTTCGGGTAAAACGACCCGAGTTTTCAACAGACCCCCACGAAGTCATGGAAGGGTTCTTGACGTAAATTTCTGTTTCTCCCGGATCCTAGCTTTTCTAGCAGAAAGCGGCCCTTTTGCACCACTTGTATTTTAGGATAAGATAGAATAGAAGACCTTTATACGTATTTTTTGGAGAGGGTAGCAGATTTAGATCGTTCTGCAATGATGTAATAATGGAAGAAAATAAAACATCATATAGTATGATGGTATAATATTGTAAGACCTTTATACGTATTCTCTGAAGCGGTGGCTGATCTAGATCTTTCTGTAATCTCAGATTTTGATTCAATATAGGGTACATCGTGGGAAAACTGCGACATCATGGAACCAATGGTAAAAATGATGGAAAATGGTGGGAATCCCTGTGGATTTGGATGAGAGAATTCTTAAAACCATTGCAAAAAAATCGGAGATTGTATAAGCATGGGCGAACGTCTGGTTCTGGGGGCAACGGTAACAACCAGCATCATCCCCTGAGGTTGAGCCGAGCAGCAAGAAGAACGGGCCACCCTTTCCGGGACTCTCATCTCTATGGTGTCTCTTACCTGTCGCTTCCCGAGCTGCTGAGTTCAACAAGCCCCAAGCTTGGTCCGACCAGTTCTGGTTTGATGATCTTGATCTTAAAACTCGGTTTTGAGTATGGTCAAGTAATACTGACATAATGTATAGTAATGTATAGTACCATGTAGTACCATTAATTTGATGATCTTAAAAATCGTGTAATAATGTAGTACTACTATGTTTTACTGAAGCTCCATTGGCGGCGCGGCCCTGGGCTTTAAGCTGCGCCTCATGTCATATGCGCATACATGTGGCATATACCTGGTCAAAATCTTCGTAGATCATTAAATTGATTATTTTTTGGATCGCTACATTCTATCACAATTCTATCATCACCCAATCATGATCTTCAACTGATGAAACAAGATCCTGTATGATTTATGACCCCAATCATGATCTATTTGTGATAGGTGGTGTTTCTTATAGTTCATAACCAATGCACCACCCTTGCAAACTTCGCCCAGGCACTGGACCCCGCACCGATTTCACGGTCATGTGCGCGAAGGACCTGCTCCTGACATGGAAAATCCATGTGGATATAGACCATTGACCCGCAATATCGTAATGAAAAAACATCGCAATGGGCAATCACCTATAAATGAAGATATGATGGGAGTTTATAGCTGGGAAAATCATCTATAAATGGGCGGTGTTCCAGCAAACCATGTTTGATTGCGAGAGGGTACATGTGTTGAATATCAGACCACAGAATTGAAGATGTTCTTTTACTCCAAATTGAGATATGGAGATTCAGCCTTCATAAGTGGCTCTTTTCGATGGGAAACCAAAATCATCCAAGCTGCTGATCATGTCAAAGGGTGAAACCGTAAAGCAATGGCTTAGGGGCCCTGGATTCTTCCAACACAGCAGGCCATGGTTCTGAGGCTCTAACCTACTTAATGGTGATTTTTGTATGATTTTTTGGTGATTGTAAACATACAGCACAACCCTAACATGATGATTCACGAAGAAATATGCGATGATATGTGGATTAGACCCGCCATTTCCTCGTGGATTATGGCTGGACCAGCTGGAATATATCATGCAAGGAGCAATGTGTGAAAGTTTGAGATAACACATTTGTGGTTGGACTCCCATTAGCATGTTTTGGACTAGACAGTAACTCATTGGGAACGAGCAAATACAGCAACTCCCAAAATGGAATGGAATGATAATTCACAAGTGGAGTTCAGGGTTGCACTATGGCATTCCAACAGGGGCCTCATTCTTGGGCAAATCCCCATTTCAATACATTTGTATAAACTACGATCCATACCTAAGATGTCAATGGCTGGTCAAATTTTAAACATGTTCCAAGATTAAAGCGGCACACCTATCCAGTGTATTTGGTGAATGCCTCAAACACCCGTCACAACAAAAAAATGGCGTCAGCTGGGATCATTGAGGTAGGATTGAACAGCAGACCCTTATCAATCCCACGAAAAACCAATGCCATACACCATCCCTAAAGCCAGCATTTTCATGGGTCCAGGGGTAGGTTTCTGGCACTGGGAACCCCGTTGGTACATAAGTGTTGCCCATTGTTGGTTGGGTTCGGCCTGGTACTAAGATCATACGTCAGTTCTTGGGCCACATGTTTTTCCCGAAAGCTCCTGCGAAGGGTTTTTCCCCAAACAAACTGCTGCCAAATTGAACTTTTTAGTTCCTCTACATAACATCCCCTACATCCTGAAAACATCATTTTCATCAATTTCGTATACATCACATACATCATCTGCATCAACATCATCTACATCACATCATCACCTATATCAGCTACACCAACCTCATATATACAGATATACATATATATATATATACACCATCTATGGCATCTACATCAGTTTCACTCATCAACTTCATCTACATCATCACATACATCATTTACGGGAGTTGTCACACAGGAGTTGTTACAAAGGAGTTAATACACAGGAGTTCCTGCATAGGAGTTGCTACACAAGAGGACACAAGAGTTAAATTCTAGGTGATCTACTTGTATTTGAAAAACCCCAATAAACTCCTACTTCTAAGTTCTTCCAAATTCTCTTAACGTGACCATCGAAACGTGACCCTCTGCGGAGATCGTGCGATAAAATTGCAATTTTGAAGTTCTTCTCTGTCCGGACATCGTGCGTGTCGGACGCACAAACTAACTGTGTAGTGAAATGCAAATTTTTGGTGGCTGGGCATCGCCGCCCTTTTGCACGCAATGAGGGTCGAAGATCACAAACTGGTGTAAAATTTCTCAGTATGTAAAAACTCCTGTGTAAACGCTTCTGTGTGTAAAAGTTCCTCTGTGTAAAAACTTTTGTGTAATTGAAGGCTTCTGTGCGTAAAAGTTCCTCTGTGTAAAAACTTCTGTGTGTAAAAGCTCCTCTGCGTATAAAAACTCCTCTGCGCAAAGGTTTCTCTGTGCAAAAGTGTCTGTGTAATTCGCTTGCGTCATCGGAGTCATTTCAATAGAAGCCATGGGGACACACAAATGTACATACGATATCATACGATATATTTTAATTTCATAATCACTCAGTATACATTCATTAATTAACAATGATGCATCTGCAACCTCATTCATCATACATTGTTCATCATCCTTCATCATGCATCATCATTCATCGCCATTCATCATCAAATATATTCTCGTCCATCCTTTTTTGATCTACTCCCTCCTGCTTTTCTTTCGGGCACCGAAGGCGAGACGAAGTGATGTCATGGGATGAACTGAGGACCAGATCCAAAAACGCAGCCCCAGCGCAACAATCACTGTTGGAAAACAAACAGAACGAAAATTATTCAAATGTTAAATAACTATACAATATATCACTGGATCACTGGATTGGTTTAAGGGAAAATTTACAGGAAACCATGGTTGTTTTTACCATCAAATTGATCGGGCTTTCCGGTTAAAATTTTCCCATCATCCAATTCTATGAATATAGAAAAACATACTCGGCAGAGCTTTCGGCGTATGTTTGTCCACTTCACCAGGTAACCAATTTTGCAGTTTTGCCTTGTACTTTGCAACGGTGCCTTGGGGGATCTGTATCGGTAGCAAAAGATAGCTAGCAGAAGGTGAGCATCCACAAAACAAACGCAACAAAAGGTACAATTTCGCCAATGCTCTTTACCCTGCATGGAGGCCCAAAATGAATGAAACTGAACAAATCCAATATGTGGATCTATTTCGCGGGAAAAAATTGTCAATCCAAATTTTCCATCCACATCCAGTCCTTTAAATGGGCCAGGCTTTGATCCAAGTGTTCTTCGAAATGGCAAAGTCGGCTGGAACGGGTCCCCAGCCCCATGGACATGCCTCAGCGCAATGCAATGGGCAATGCTGACAGCCCCAAATGGCCGATGACACAATTATGGCAAGGAAAAAAACAAATTTGTTTTATGATGTTTTATGTATCCAATAACTATCGAACTATTGGTTAAAGCGTTATACCCAACTCCCCCGAATCCTTGGCTCACATTGCAACCTCGGAACGGTCCGTGCCCAAATTCGCCACCGTGGCCATTCTCTTTGGGCGCAGGTGGGTGCTGGAACGCGATGACGATGGAGACGGATCCATGGCGTCAAACCGCAGCATCCCACACTTCGGGGCCTCGCTTGGCAACAAAAACCTATGCGTTCGAAGTAAGCATTTCCGTGCCACCAATGCCACCCGGAAACAACTGATAAATTGAAGTTTGCAAATTTTGATGGTATGTTTTTGTCCGGTCTTTATGTTCACGTTGGAATGATAATCTGATTCATTTTGGACATGTATAGCAAATGTAGTTTACGTTTCCCACCACAGCACGCTGCGGATATGGTTTGGTCCAAAACATTCGGAGCAAACGCCTTTGTAACAACTGAATTGAACGACATAGTAACCCAATGTGGATGGCGTTGAAGCATCTGAGACAATCACATGCCAGTGTCACAGTCGGTCATTGTCATTGGTCAATGACACTGCCGTCATGAATTCATGGTTGTCTATGGTTGTCTGCATTGTTGTAAATACGAACTGTTTAGCCCACGCCATTGCTACTATATTGCCTTTTTGTTCCCCTGACGTATGCTCTGACATACTTACTCTATCGTGTGCCGAACACACATGCTTAAAAAAACAAGAAAAATCAACCAATGTCTGAAATAAACGAAACAACCATGTTGAAAAAATGCAAACTTGCAAACACATTGGGATGCATCCTCTCATTTTTGGAACACTTTTAGCATTTTTGACGCATCAGCGTGCAAGGGAAACAAGGTGCGGGCAAGGGAGAGGAGCTGCAAAAAGTCTAGTAACGCAGCAAGTGTTGCCGCGATACCAGAAACACGCACGTGTTTTGGATTGACTTTTGTCGCGATTGTTTTCTGTTGCCAGGAGTACCGCGCAAGGCGGTGGCGGAAGTTTCGAAGATAGGACACTATAGGAGAGGCGACTTGTTGTGATACATGGATGGCAGAGCGAACCCACTGCTGAATCGAAAGGTGGTTGCAGCTGTGTTTTTTGAAGTGGTTGCAGTGGTCACCGCAGCCACAGCTGCTGGATGTAGTGTGGTGCAGCGTAGCGTAGCTGTAGTTGTATATAGTTGTAGTTGTAGCTGTAGCCTAGTTGTAATTTAATGTTGTAGTTGTAGTTGAAGAAATTGTTGTAGATGCACCTGTAGTTGTAGTTGTGGCGCGATGTGGTGGTAGTGTACTGTGGTGCAGTGGGGTGTAGCGTAGCGGAGTTGTGGCTGTAATTGTCGTTGATGTTGTAGTGTGGCGTAATGGTAGTGTAGTGTGGTGAATTGGAATGTATGTAGTGTAGTGTAGTGGAGTTGTAGTAGTGGAGTTGTAGTTGTAGCTGCAGATGCAGTTGTAGTTGCATTTGTAGTTGTAGTGCCGTGTAGTGTGATAGTTGGAGTTGGAGTAGTAGCTGTAGCTGTACTGCGATCTAGTGTAAAAGTAGTTGTGGCTGTGCTCGCAGCTGTCGCTGAAGTCGTAGTCGTAGTTGTGGTTGTAATACTACTACTACTACTACTACTACTACTACACTACTACTACTACTACTACTACTACCACTACTACCACTACTACCACTACTACCACTACTACCACTACTACCACTACTACTACTACTACTACTACTACTACTACTTCTACTTCTACTACTACTACTACTTCTACTTCTACTTCTACTTCTACTTCTACTACTACTACTACTACTTCTACTTCTACTTCTACTTCTACTACTACTACTACTACTACTCCTACTCCTACTCCTACTCCTACTCCTACTCCTCCTCCTCCTCCTACTCCTACTCCTACTCCTACTACTCCTACTCCTTCCTACTCCTACTCCTACTCCTTCCTACCTACTCCTACTCCTACTCCTACTCCTACTCCTACTCCTACTCCTACTCCTACTCCTACTCCTACTCCTACTCCTACTCCTACTATATATTGCTACTGCTACTGCTACTGCTACTGCTACTGCTACTACAACTACTACTACTAGTACTACTACTACTACTACTCCTGCTACTACTACTACCACTACTACCACTACTACCACTACTACCACTACTACCACTACTACCACTACTACCACTACTACCACCACTACTACCACTACTACCACCACTACCACTACTACCACTACTACCACTACTACCACTACTACCACTACTACCACTACTACCACTACTACCACTACTACCACTACTACCACTACTACCACTACCACCACTACCACCACTACCACTACCACTACGACTACCACTACGACGACTACTACGACGACTACCACTACCACTACCACTACCACTACCACTACCACTACCACTACCACTACCACTACCACTACCACTACCACTACTACTACTACTACTACTACTTCTACTTCTACTTCTACTTCTACTTCTACTTCTACTTCTACTCCTACTTCTACTCCTACTTCTACTCTACTTCTACTTCTACTTCTACTTCTACTTCTACTACTACTACTACTACTACGCCGCTGGGCCGCGGCTGCCTTTCGCGTGGCAGGCGCAGGACACAGAGCCTCCTGGACGATCTGCGGCGCGCGTGGCCGCCGCTGGGCCGCGGCTGCCTTTCGTGTGGCAGGCGCAGTACACAGAGCTTCCTGGAGGAGCTGCGGCGCGCGTGGCCGCCGCTGGGCCGCGGCTGCCTCTCGCGTGGCAGGCGCAACACACAGAGCCTCCTGGAGCAACTGCGGCGCGCGTGGCCGCTGCTGGGCCGCGGCTGCCTTTCATACCACTCATCACAGCTCCACTTATCACATCACAACTTCTCATCACAACTCATCACAAACCAACTCATCACAGCTCCACTTCTCACACCTCACTCATCACAGCTCCACTGCTCATCACAAACTCATCACAGTTCCACTTCTCACAGGTCCACTTCTCATCACTTCTCACAGGTCCACTTCTCATCACTTCTCATCACAACTTATCACATACCAACTCATTACAGCTCCACTTCTCACAGGTCCACTTCTCATCACTTCTCACAGGTCCACTTCTCATCACAACTCATCACAACTTATCACATCCCAACTCATCACAGCTCCACTTCTCACACCACTTCTCATACCTCACTTATCACATCCCAACTCATCACAGCTCCACTTCTCACACCTCACTTTTCACACCTCCCCGAAGTTCACATTAAGCTTAGATACATAAAGGCTTGACATGTGGGGTTATCCGGTCCTTTTATTTTTTTGTTTATGTAGGGTTTGTTTAGGGTTTATTTTGATTTCGTTCCAGACTTTGTGGTTTACTTTGTGGTTTAGGTTTCGTTTGGGATCTATTGGCGGTTTGTTGTTTTTTTTATTTGCGGTTGGTTTGAAATTTGTTTAGGGTATATTTAGGGTTGGTTTTGGGGTTTGTTTAGGGTTGGTATTGAAATTTGGTTTAGGTGTTATTTAGGGTTGGCTCAAGGTTCTTTAGGGTTGGTTCGTGTTTGTTTAATAAGTGCTCTTTAGTGTTTATTTACGGTTGGCTTATTGTTTTTTAGGGGTGGTTTGGGGTTTATTTGGGGTTCGTTTAGGGATTTGCGATTGGTTTCAAGTTGATTTTGGTTTCGCTTACAATTTATTTAAGGTTTGTTTGGGTTTCGTCTAGGGTTAATGTGAGATCTGTTCAGGGTTTATTTAGGGTTAGTTGAGGGCTGGCTGGGGGTTGGTTTAGGATTCGTTTAAGACTTACGTTGGTTTGGGGGGTAGGTAGTTCCCCACAACTTTGTGTGGGGTTCTTGTTTTTGATTCTGTATCCCGAGCCTCCTCCGCCTCCGCCTCCTCCGCCCGCCTCCGCCTACCATCTCTCACATACAATAACTTCACACACACAAACTTAACACACAACTTTGTCACATATCATCTGTCACATACAATAACTTCACACACACACAAACTTAACACACAACTTTGTCACATACCATCTGTCACATACATAACTTCACACACACCTTTGTCACATACCATCTTACACATTGTCACATACCATCACAACTTTGTCACTACCATCTCTCACATACAATAACACATTGTCACATACCATCACAACTTTGTCACTACCATCTCTCACATACAATAACATCACACACATGGCACTTTGCGTGGCAGGCGTGGCACTTGGTGACACCGACGTGCGTTTCACGTGGCAGGCGTGGCACAATCTCACATCCACCTTCGTTTTGCGTGGCAGGCGTGGCACTTAGGCGCCCGTGACACCGCGGCACTTTGCGTGGCAGGCGTGTCACTTGGTGACATCTACGTGCGTTTCACGTGGCAGGCGTGACACACTCTCAGATCCACCTTCGTTTTGCGTGGCAGGCGTGGCACTTATGGCACTGGGTGACGCGCTTGGGCTGGTTTTAGGCGCCCATGACGCCGCGGCACATTGCGTGGCAGGCGTGGCACTTGGTGACATCTACGTGCGTTTCACGTGGCAGGCGTGGCACACTCTCAGATCCACCTTCGTTTTGCGTGGCAGGCGTGGCACTTAATTATGGCACTGGGTGGCGCGCTTGGGCTGGTTTTAGGCGCCCGTCACACCGCGGCACTTTGCGTGGCAGGCGTGGCACTTGGTGACATCTACGTGCGTTTCACGTGGCAGGCGTGGCACATCGTGGCACAATCTCACATCCACATTCGTTTTGCGTGGCAGGCGTGGCACTTATGGCACTGGGTGGCACGCCTGGGCCCGTTTTAGTCGCGCATGACGCCGCGGCACTTTGCGTGGCATGCGTGGCATCCACCTTCCTTGCACGTAGCAGGCGTGGCACAATCTCACATTCATTTTGGTTTTGCGTGGCAGGCGTAGCACTCATGGCACTGGGTGGCGCGCTTTGGCCCGTTTTAGTCGCGGATGACGCCGCGGCACTTTGCGTGGCAGGCATGGCACTTGATGTCACGTGGCAGGCGTGGCACCATCTCGCATCCACCTTCATTTTGCGTGGCAGGCGCGGTGTTCATGGCACTGGGTGGCCCGCTTGGGCCCGTTTTAGTTGCGGATGACGCCGCGGCACTTTGCGTGGCAGGCGTGGCACTTGATGACATCCACCGTCGTTTCACGTGGCAGGCGTGGCATCTTCTCACATTCACCTTGGTTT